TGATGACCTTCATAATTCCAGGTATTGATGACTCAGCCTTCCCAGTAGTACTGGAGTTGTATAGAGAACTTTTGGGAATTGACATGCCTTCTCCATCTAATGATAGTTTACAGGCACCACTGAGAATAGGTGGAGTGTAGATTTCTAGACAGGTATCCAGTAGTGTTATCCAAACAATCCTATCTAATGACCGACTGACTAGCTACATACATGAAAGGACCCCATCCTTGACTCATCCTAAGGTTTGATACAAGAACTTCAAAAGATTCTAACTTTAGTTATAGAATGATTTTCATGACATAGGGAAAAAAAGAACATTCTCTATTTAGATATCAGAGCCAAAAATAAAATGCACAGTGAACTAAACCTTGTTTAAATGTTACCAATGGTGATACTTTGATTATCTTACTCCCAGTTTTGATGAGACATGTAAGCCCATATTTTCTGTAAGAAAGCAGCTATAAAAAGCTGTGATTTCTTCTCTCCATGCTTATTTGAACAATGTTTATCTTTATATTCTATAATCCAGGCAAAATTACATTCTCATTTTTCAACTCTATGTCCAAATCCTCATTAGTTTTGTGACTTGATTTAATGCAGTAATTAATGACTGTAACATAAGCGACCACATCAGAATTAAGCAGTGAGGCTTCAGAAATGTGCTGGAAAATGCCATGGAAACCACGATGATTCCATTCTTCCTAGAGGCAAGCAAAGCTAGGAAGGTGGGAGGCACTGGCATACACATATGCTGGTGGATACAGCAAGAGATGAGCTAAGTGGTAATGGAGGGTGTATTTTTTGGAGAGTAGTTTTCAAAAAAGGCATGGATGAGGGTAGAAGTATTAGAGTCTAGAAAGTGTATTCTGTATATGATATACTCTCTTAAAGTGCTGAAAAGCTCTGTTGAATTCTTTACTGGGTTCAGAAATACACATACACTCAAGGGCATAATATTGATTCAAACACAACAGAGTAAGGGAAAAGAAGAAATTGTACAAAGAAATACATGGCAAGCTAGCATGACCACCTGTCCTTGACTGTGTACCTGATTAAACTAGCAATAGCAACCAGTAAGTTTTCCTCCTTTTGGAGGCAACTTCCCATGCATTAACAGTAATCAGAATTTGCTTTTAATGCAATGGTGCAAAGAACAATACCAAAAGGTAGCTCAGGGCATCAGGAGCTCCACAGTTTCATCATTTATTGTATCCTCCAGGCTTATAGAAAAGCATCTATAACCCCATCAGTTTATTTATTTATTTTTTGTATTTTTTTATTAATTAATTTTTGTTACAGATGTTTCTTTTTTTTTACCCATTGACACCCTGTTTCCCGTCCACCCCCACTCATTACCCAGCTTTGTTGTCCATGTCCATTGGTTGTTCGTGCATGCATATAAGTTCTGTGGTTTATCTCCCCCCAACTCCCTCTTCTGAGGATTGTCGGTCTATACCCTACTTCCACATCTCTGTAACCCCATTAGTTTATCATTCTCAGTCTCAGTTTCCTTATCTGTAAAAATGAGTTTTAACCAGGAGATTAGATGAAGTCTGAGGCTCCTTCTAGCTCTATCATAAGTCTAGAACTCAAAATGATCTCCCCCTTCTCAAACCACAGCATTTCTTCTTGGTGAGGAAATCAGTGTGGGTTCTTCATGTCCCTGAGATCTTGGGAGCCATCAAGAGGAGGTTTTAGAGTTAAGGTGCTTATCTCAAAATACTTTGGGATCTTTGGACCTTGCTTTCCCAAACTGAATATCCAACTCCTGAGGAGTGGAACCTGATTTTGGAGATGGGTAGTGAAGCTTGGACTACCTGTAGTTTAAGAGGCAGCCTGACATTCAACATATAGTTTACACAAGTACTCAATATAGAACTCCCTAGTGAAAAATTAGCATATCTCAAATTAGATCATTTGTACCCTCTGATTCAATCAGCAGGAGTATCCATGAGATATTATTTTAGAATGTGTTCATGAATTACAGGTTTATATACTTTTAGACAATTACAGTGATACCTCGGTTCTCGAACATAATTCGTTCCAGGAGGACGGTCGAGAACCGAATTGTTCGAGAACCGAAGCAATGAAACCAATAGGAAAGCGTGACTCCACAAAGCATGACTCTCTCTCTGCACTCACACTGATGACGCAAGCAAGGCGCGCTGGGCCGAATGAACGCCATTCGGCTCAACTCGGCTCATCTCGGAAGTTCGAGTTCCAAATATTTGTTCGGATTCCAAGACAAAAGTTTCTCGAATCTCCATTTGGTCGAAAACCGAGGCGTTCGAGAACCGAGGTATCACTGTATATAGAAATGGTTGGCTGAGACTATTATTACCTGGATACGTAGGCTAAAGGAAATTACATGGCAGATTTGAGCCAGCAGAGTTGAATGGCTAATCTGTTATTACTCATTATCTGAATTTTGTTGTGGCAGAAAGCCGAAGGAAATTCAGAGGTCTTGATGAGCCTGCTCAATTTATGTTGACATGGGTTTCTCCTTGGTCCATAGTGCTGCTTTTGAAAGGCTCCCTAGATGGCATTAATCCCCAAATAAACACACATAATATCACTATGGCTCTCATGAGACACATGAGTTACTTTTTAGCATATTCTCATAGCACATAACCCAAAGGAAAGGTGCTTCATTTTAAAATGAGAAAAAAAAAAGTCCATCCTCAAAATTAAGCTATCCTTGCTTGTGGCATTTAAAATTACAAACCAACATCTTTCCTGAAGAGGATATAACATTTATCATTGGACAGTCACAAAAAGACATTTAAGGACATATATATCTATTTGAAGTTCCACACGTGACCCATCTGCTTGGGACTAAGCATGTAAGGGTAGTGGAGCCTGAGTGTAACAGATACTGAATAAACAGATGTCCATGTGTATGGGATAGGAAGGCCTTGCCTTGGGTTTTCCCCATTTGGGAGGCATGTAGTTCATAACAGAAGTGATGGTTGCATCTTCTTTCAGATAATGGCTTGGGCCTCCTATTTAGCTGCTTGTTGAGTGTAAATTGAAAGTGCTGCTTGAAAGTGTAATTTCAATGTGTTATCTAACCAAGGATGGACCATCCTACCATCTGACCAGGACTTTGTTCTCTCTCCAGCCTTTGCCATCAGAAACATGACCACCAACTCTCTGCCAGTTACCACAGAAGCAAAATATCAGCAAAGTAACGATCTTGCTCTCAGCTGTCAGCAGACATAAAGTTACTTTAGTTTTTTTAAAATATGTTTTATTGATTTTTTTTAGAGACAGAGGAAGGGAGAGAGAGATATAAACATCAGTGTGAGAAAGAAACTTCGATTGGCTGCCTCCAGCACACCCCCTACTGGGGATCGAGCCCACAACCCTGGCATGTGCCCTGGCTGGGAATTGAACCGGAACCTCTGAGTCCATGAGATGATGCTCCATCTACTGAGCTACACTGGCCGGGCTACTTTAGTTTTCTTAAAACCACATTTTCAATGCACAAGTGCTTGTTCTCTTTCTGTTTTGCCAGTAAAATAATCCCAAACAAACCGTTAAGAAAATTGGTATACAGTGCTTTTCTCTTTTTCTTCACTTCAATGCCACTGTTGTATACCTGTGAACTTAGACACATAGTGACCATGGGATGAACAAGTCAGTCCTCATTATTTTAATGTGTAGGCTAATAACATTTTAGCTTCACGAATGTTTTGGGTGTATAAATAATACCAGAAGTAACATGACTTTGAAATTTAAAATGTAACTAAAATGTGGGCAGTATTGGTTATTTGAATCTTTGGTAATTTGAGCTCTTCGTTCTGGTGCTGTTCAATTTAGGCCTCTTCAATTCAACACCTTCAAAACATTTTTATCCAAGAAAAATCAAATCATTTGGAAAGTTGTAGCTGCAGATTTATAATTTGTGCTCCAAGTTGAATCCTATCCATATTTGGACTTAATTAACATAGGCCAACCATATGTGTGCACATTTTCTGAAGGGACCAAAAACAGATGGGAGATGATATTGTATTTTTGTCCTTCCCAGATAGTATTGCTCAATGCATATGGGTATTTTCTACGATGCTTTTATAATGTTTGGTAAACATGGACCTTTCTAGTCAGCCACTGGCAATTTAGTCAGGGGAGAGGAGTAGAACAGCTGATGAATCAGCAGTGTTGTCATTTATCTTCTCCAAATCCCAAGGTCAATAGAAAAAAAACGGGTCTTATATTTCCTTATTTGGAATTAACTAAGAAAATGGAGTCTAATTGTAGAGCTTAGGATCAACTTGGGGCTTAGGTTCAGCACAAGACAATATTGAGAAACATAATTTACCTCTGGTGCCATTGCTACACTGTTCTGAACCCTGTTTTCCATCCAGTATCAACCTTCTCTTTGCTACCCTCAGTATCAACGTTTGCTGTTGGGAATATTGGTAGGGAATCTGGGAATCCATCAACTTATACATACAACGGAGGAAATGATTAATATTACTTGAACCACAATTTTCTCCTTAGATTTGCATCTTAATAGTCATGGGAATTTTTGGCTAAATGTCTATTAGTTGATTATATATAGCACCTAAGAGTTGAAAGGAGTTTGAGCAAGGACATGCATTGGGATATTTCTGGAACTCCTAATAATTTGCACAGCATGAATTTTTAACATTTACTTATGTGGAAAGCCTTGCCAGGTACAGCCATATCTGTGCCTGCCTGTGGGCTAGGTAAACAGCTCAAGGCTGGAGTGAGCAGGACCTGTTCTATGCTTTGTATGGTGAGTAACTTCAAATAAGTCATTTAATTTCAGAGCTTTCAGAAGACAAGTTTACATTTTTCATTTCTTGCTTGTCTAGCCAAACTTGGTTTTTGCTTTTCTGTGGATCAAGACTGTTTTGTGGGTACCTTGGGTTTTGATTGAGGAGCATCAAATAATTATTCAAAGCCATACTTCCAAGATATACCAAAAGGGCTCTTTCGGGGCGTAGGTCTGTAAGGGTACATTATTTACTTACCCAATCAGTGTGAGCACTTCTGTAGACACCAAGGGAGTAATTAAAAGTCTTTTACTTGATTCAGTTCCTGTGTGTCTGATTTACATAACCTGGAAGGATTATTTAAATGGGGACTTGAAACAACTTTAAAAAGTGAAGAATAAATGTACAACTATTGAGATATATTTCATTAAAATAATATATTAATGCATACTATATATTAATGATATACTAATGGTATTAAACTATGATCTCACAAGAGAAACTGTTCTTTCAAGTATCTGATATGCATGGAGCCCAGTAAATGCTTGCCAAAAATTACTGAATGGATCTACTAAATTACAACTCAGGCAGAATTCTGTTTAACATGAACCGTTCCTCATTAAGGACCTGGAATTGGTCCTCCTACATGCATTCTGCCCTCGTCCCTGTCCATCATCATGAGCTTTTGTAAATTTTTAGTTGAGGCTAATCAAATGCATGTTGCAGACACCTCCCCAACTTTCTCTGAAGTTTCTCCATGGCTGATTTTCTAGTTAGAGATCAGAGACAATGCCCTAATATACTGCCACCACCATAAGTAGGGTTCCATTGCCTACCTTTGCGCATCCATGTGTGTTAATAGGCATGCTGGTCTGGTTTCCTCTCTGTGGCACCTGGAGACTGTCCTCTCACCTCTCTTAGCAGCTATCCCAGTTTTCTAGCCTCATCCACCATATTCTTGGTTGCCAGTGGACTAACCTTGGTTTCACTGCCTTGATTTTACTAGCATGCCTCTCCATTGTGACCATGGCTCTTGATTAATTCTCCTTGTCATTACCTCTGGTCCAGTCACTTAGAAGCCTTTCTGGGCCCAATTATCCTGCCCTGGTTTTAAGGAGAAAGTAATATTTCTCAAAGAGAATGCTAGTGCTATTGAAGAATTGTAGAGCCTTTCTCAATCCCCTTTCCTATTTCCCTTTCAACACTTTCTTCTTTTAGTCTATCATGTGAACCAGCGATTTTTAATGTGTGCCACAAGAGACATGCTGGTGTGCTGCGAGAATTTTTAAAACATGCAATATCTGACTGTTTTGTCAGGGGCACTGACCACTTTTCCCTAAGACTGTCAAATAAAAAAATGACAATAGCCATCCCTGCCAGTTTGGCTCAGGGGTTGGAGCATTGGCCCGTAGACCAAAGAGTTTCGGGTTTTATTCCAGTCAGGGGCACATACCTCGGTTGCAATTTGTTCCTGGCCCTGGTCAGGGTCTGTGGGAGGCATCCAATTGATGTGTCTCTCTCACATCAACATTTCTCTTTCTCTCTCTCTCCTTCCCTCCCTCTCACTCTATCTGACGATAAATGGGAAAATGTCCTCAGATGAGGATTTAAAAAAAAAATTACAACAGCGAACACAACAAAAGATATCTGGTATGAATGAATCAAAATTCTACCTATTTTTTTTTGTCAGATTGGTAAAAACTATAATATATGTTTTGGAGTGCTACAGAATTTTAGTAATTAGTTTGTGTCCTATGAGATGAGAAAAGTTGACAATCGCTGTTGGAGACAGTAATTAAAGCCATCCCTTAGAACATGCTGAAACAGTGCTTCTTATAATGTGCTCCAAGATATCATCATCAGTATTATCTGGGCTGCTTATCAAGAGTGCCTGAGAATCTGAATTCTTACATCACCCCTCAGATGACACTTTTGTTCACCAGAGTTTGAAACTCACTGTGTGAAAGGTTATCTTGATCAGAAAACCAGCCTGGCAGTGTTTTTTAATCCACTGACTCCCTAATTCTTCCATCCCTCTTCCCGTGTGTGGGTTATATTAATGATGCACTTTTAACTTGACATCTAACTTGCCCCCAGGCTAATTTCACTTAAGGTCTTTTGGGTTAAGATGACACTCTTGTTCAATACTTGATGCATCCTGTCAAATCTCTCTGACATTAGCATGTCACATGGTTCAGAAATTTCAAGGTACAATTGAGAGAAAAATTCAACAGACCTACATTTTTGAGAAAGACTGTTCTTATGTTCTTGTGGAAAGAATGGATTGTGTTCTAGGATGTTGGATGACAAATCCATATCAATAAAATAAATAGCTCACCTATATATCCCGAGTGCCAGAAAGTTCCTACTTCAAGAAGCATTATAACTTACACTTAAGGCTTTCATCATATTCAAATGTGCAAATTCACCTATGAGAGGAAATCCTTTAAGATGGTCACCTTCACTTACATTTTAGAATCAGAGAAAGTTTGAACAGCATGGGGTTTTGAGTAAAGAATAAGGCCCAGATATTTACTAAAGGTCAAAATCTCTTTATGGGTAAGCTGGGTCATCTACCCAATTCCCTGGATCCATAGTCAATGATGCTTCGACCCTGTGAGGCTGCCAGGGAAAGTTGGAGGGTTTTTTTTTTTTAAGGATAGGTCATGAGAAGTCTGGATACCTGAAGAAAAATGAAAGGGATATCCCTGAGCAGCTACAATCCCTGTAGCAACTAAGGTGTCTACAACCTACTCTGATGGCTTCACAGGCAAAAGAGGATGATAAATTAGTAACACATTCTTTTTCTAAGGAGGAGATGTGGTACAGTGGAAAATAATAAATGAACGTTGACATCAATTAAAGTTAGGTTCCAATCTAACTTAGGTCGCTTACTGGTTTTGTGACTTTGGTAAAATGGCTTAACCTCTTCAATTTGCTTATCTCAGAAACAGTGAGACTTCTATCTGTCTTGTGTGATAGTACTTCCTGACTGTAAAATAATGAGAATGCTTGACCTAGAGCAGGTGCTCACACAATTGTGACAATTAATACTATCACTATCATCACTTGTTAATTTGTCCTTATTAAGTATTTTTAATCCTAAAAGAACATTATAGGTTTACCCCCCGATATATCCGCAAATTGCTGAGGGTTTTATACTATTCTGCATAAACTGTGCTAAACGTGGTCCCCAAACAAAGAAAAAAATAGCAATATATTCTAGACTCTCTTGCTTCTCCTGATAAACACAGAAGTGTTCTCTTGTCCTTACTTTCCAAACAAGACAGACTACTGTAACCATTAGAATTAACTCTCCCAAAATAGTACATGGCAATCTTTGCTTCAGGCAAGCAGATCACTCATTAAAATGTGTATTTCTATCTGAAAATTTGTTTTCTCTTCAAGTGGTTTTCTTTTCCTCAAGAATCTTGCACTGGGACTGGATTCCCAATTCTAAAGCTACTGAGTTTCTTAAGAACCAGGTAGTCCCTTTATGAATCAAGGTGCCTCTGTACACCATAATGTTGTAAAGTTAAATAATTAATTTGAATCCTTCTAGAAATGTGAAAACAGTCCTGGCCATGGACCCAGCTATCTCACCAAGTCTCAATTACAGGTAGACCTAGCTTTTTGGCTTTCCTTCAGTATGATTTGCTTTATTTCTAGTGGGAATCTGGCAGCAACTTACAGAAGGGGCCAGGCAAATTTTGCTGGCTTCCTTTGCCTGTCTTGTAATTTGGCAACCCCCTATGGATTCTGATGCCCAGTCTCCTCTCTTCTGAATCCCTTATCCTTTCCCATTTCCACAGGATAAAAACTTGAAATTCTCCTGCAGAGCTTCAGAACACTGATTCTTTCATTTTTTTTCAACAAATATTTATTCACTACTTACTCTGTGCCAGCCACTGTTTTACATGGTAAAGAACAGAGTCCCAGCCTTTGTGGATCTTGAATTGTAATAGGAACAAAATAAGTAAATAAAAATATAATACTTGATTTAAAAAACTAAAAGGAGCTGAAACAATTTACATCTGCATCTATTAGTCATTTAAACTCCAAGTAAGGTATAAACCCAAGAACTGGTTTTATGACCAAGGTGAACTGAATAGGGGTGTAGTAAGGAAGGGAAATGAGATTTGGGGAGACTGACTTCCTCCTATGTTTTGTTTTACTCTCTTGCCTTTAAAATCAAAATGTTTGCTTGGCCCCTTACTCTCAGCAAAGAAGTAGGGCCTCTCTGTAAAGAAACTGTATTACTTCCCTTGTGCAAACAGGAGCTTGTATATTGGCCACAATAACAGTGCAGGGATGTGTGATGATCCTTCAGGAAATGAATTCTTTAACAAAAATCAAGTGGAAGATAGGCAGCCTCAGCTCACTGCCTTCAGGTGCAATGGCCTTAATATTTTAGATTATGAAAAAGAAAGAGCAAATCTGACATGCTGGAGGCAGTGTCTGCCAGCAAACAGTCTGAGTCTCAATTAAAATACTTTCTGTGAGATCCACCAAAAATTGATGGACATACAGAGTAAAGGAGACAAAAATTATTCATGTTTTAGTGTGATGCTCTCACTTATTTGTAGCATATAATGAACATAACAATCTGAAGAACAGGGTAGTCCCAGAGACGTGGAAGTAGGGCACAGACTGATGATCCCCAGAAGAGGAGGTGGGGGGAGAGAAAAACCACAGAATTTATATGCATGTATGCATGAACAAAGGTCATGGACAAAAAAGCTGGGGACAGGGCAGGGAGGAAGGGGGAGGAGGGTGTCAATGGGGGGGGGGAGGAGAAACATCTGTAACAAAAAAATAATAATTAAAAAAATTTCAAAAATCTAAAACTAAAAGGATTGATTTAGATCTTTACAATTGCTTCCCATTTGCTCAGTTGATGGCATGATTTAGCAAACCATGGAGCTGTTAACTTTCCTCCTTGCTATTGGCACCCACTGAGTTCCAATACTAAACCTATCTAGAAAGGAATTAGAAAACAAATAAGGAAAAAGGGAAATACCAGCTGAGTTCTCAGCTGAGACAAAATTCAGAGACAGTTTCATGCTTTTTGGGAATTTCTGTCAGTGGGGTTTTCCATGCTGGTAATAGTTTTGACCCAAAGAATTCTAGATCCCTGTAGGATTGTTAGATCTGCCACACAGGCAGAAATAATTGTGTGTGAAGCTTCTGCTCCCAAATAAATGTGAAAAGTTCAATTCACAAAGGGGTCATATTCAGCAAATTTATGATTAAGAATATTAAAATTGATTGTTTCCAATAGCAAACAAAATAGAGTTGAATTCCATGTTGCATGCTTTTAAAACTGTATTTATTTCCATTATTATTATTTTTTAATTTATTATAAGAAAGAAATTTCCAGATTTTCTAGGTGTTATTCACAAATTATGTATATGTACACTGATTAATTTTGTATGATGAACATATTTTTGTTTGATGAAAGTATTTTCTCTTTTAAAAAATAGAAAAGAATAGATTCTTTATGTTCCTAATAATTTTAAACCCATAGATTCTTTTGATGTTTTTACCCCTTAATAAAGTGTCAGACTTTTAAAAATTGATCACTACAGATTTTCATTTTGATCCTTTTACTCTGATTTTATTTAAAAGAGTCCATGGCATTAATCTCAATAAAACTTTTATTTTTTTTCAAATAATAAAGTCTTCTGTGCTGGGAAGAATACCTAACTACCTATATCATATCTATATCTCTAAATGAACTCCATGATTGACAAAAATGATTTTTCCTGTCTAAAATGTTATTAAGTCAGTTGTTGAGAACTAAATATTTAAAATTTTCCCTTTAGAAACAGAGTATTTGTGTTCTCAGAATAGCCCACAGAAGCTAGATAACTTATTTAGCAATGAAAATAAAATACTTTGTTTTATGACAAAATTTAAATAACAGTAAAATACAAAATCAATAGCACTGGCAGAAAATTACTGAATAAAGCAGAATTTTATAATTTTACCTTTCAAGTATTGTTTGAAGATGTGTTTAATTCCATGAAAGACATCTTCAAATAACCTATATTTATCAATTCAGATAATGCAGAACAAAGAGTCAAAACAAAATATGAATCATCCTACCACACAAAAAAAATCTACTCTTAATATAGTTTTGTGCTTATCTCCAACAATGAGAATATATTTTTACATAATTGCGATTACACTACACTGTTTTGTATCTTGTTTTTCCTAATCACTGTTGTATTTTGACTAGTTTGAAAATTGTCAGTGCAGATTCTTGGTCTAATGTTACTTCAAATCCAAAATCTTTTCTTTCTTTAAAGTAAATGCCACTATTTTTTGTTTCATCTTGGCTTATATAGAATGTATAAAATGAAGCAGAGAAAGAAAATAGAAGAGAACCAGAAGGGAAGAGTAAGAATGAGCATGCCAACAAGAGAGAGTTTCAGTTACAGTGCTACAGTCAGAGGTGTCTATGGATATCAAAGATTTTCTAGAGAAAATAAATAGGAATTGGAGCAGTGAACTTGTGAATAACAGGGATTCTAATATCAGATCTAAATGGGAATAAACATCATTTTATCCTGTTCCATCATTTGACAAGGAGATGAATGTTTATCAAATTTAAGGTCTTGCTTAGGGGACAGAGATAGTTTGAAGCAACACTGGGAAGGGAACCCAGATATGCTAATTCTTTATTTTAATTTCCTTCTTGAATCTCTGAGGGCTAATAAGAGGAAATGGTGGAAAAGAGATGGTGGCTCAAACAATATCCTGATGATATAAGGCTTGGTCAGAGGTGGCTGGAGCTCAGAAAAGTTAAGGAAAAAGGAAAAGAGGAGCAGAGTAGCCTTCTTGAGTGCAGAGAGGTAAAGACTATGTACCAGCTACTATCCTTAAATGTTTTTCTTTCAGCTCAAGAATTACCTGCTCCAGATTTGTCAAAATTCTAGAATGAATGCTACAATATATGGTTAACCCACCACATAGATTGGCAAATAAAACGACATTGGAGTTAACATTTGTTTATTTGATGGAAGGAGAATCAATGCTCAATCACAAACAAATATTGTCATTGAAGCAAAGACTACCTGTCCGAAGTATAAATCTAAAACAGTATGAAAGCTATGTATTTTGGACAGCAGTATGGGTAACAGCTCATTGTCCTCATTACACTCTTTCTCAGTGCTCTTGTTGATTTTAGAATAAACTTGTGGCTGGTGCCACTGAGGATGTAGGAGTCACAGGTTGGAATACAGGAAATAGAGAGTAAGGGTTATAGTGAAACTCTACATTATTTTTTAAATTTATCTATGATGGTAAATTTTAAAAATAAAAGGCATTACCCTGAGTGAGAGCTTAGATTTCAGTATTTGAATCAGTGTCATTTTGCTTTATATCAAATATATTTTTGGTTTGCTTCTTAAGAATCAGACCTCACAGATTTAAAACTTGCTCTTTTATTTTTTCATGTTTTTTTTTTTCTTTGTTTGTTTTGTTTTGTTTTGTTTTGTTTTTGCTAAGGCTCACTTTGACCTTATCCTGTCCCATGGACTTGAAGAATTTTCCAATGGATGTCCAGACTTGTACAATGCAGCTGGAAAGTTGTAAGTCACCGCTGTTGAAATGACTGCCTGTTTGTTTTAATCAATAACCTGGTTCTTTTAGCGTGGCATTAAGGAGAAAAGACCCATAACTCTCATTCTCTACCTACTTACCAACTCCCAAGGTCCTAATGAAAGGGCAAGTGAAAGTGAGTGTGCATGTCTCATACCTAAAGACAATCGTTCAAAGTAAAATGCCAAATAACTCACCTTCCTCAAAAAGCAAGCCTGACTGAGTAAACTATTCTTTGAAATGAAAATGTCTCCTGGGAAACTTAAGATTATTAGTCATTCAATCGCTATAATAAATTGCTCTCTGATCAGAAAATTGTATTTCTGTCATATGCTCCCAAAAGGAATTTTGGCAGGGAGGAATAATTGATTTGAGGACAAGATACAGGAGCCTTAGTCAGAGGAGGAAGCAAAACTGAGGAACCTGAGATGATATGGGATAAGAGGCATCTCCCTTAGATGGGCAGTGGATACACAAAGGCATTGTGAAGAAAGCAGATAAACGCTGTCTACTTTGTCCTCTTTATGTCCTAGCCATGATGCCACTGAAATCTTTGACACATTCCATAAGCTGCTAATGCCTCCAAGATAATGGGATTTTCAGTCAAGAGACATGAAATTTTTTCTGGCTTGCTCTGTCATTTTCTCTGTGTGTAAAATGTAGAGAATAATAAGTCTTACTGACCTACAGGGACGGTAGCAGATTTAATGAGGCAAGAGCAAGGAAATACTTTTAACTTCCTGGTTTAGAAAAATAATAAATAATAAATAAAAAAGACATCAGCTATTATTTTTAAAAAAGGCAGTGACAGGTTTTCCTTCTGATCATTTAAAGTCACTGTAGATTTCCCTTGAAACTTCCTTCCTATAGAAATAAACAAAATAATGAAATGTCTTTGTTTCAAGAAGTTGTCAGGGATAAAATGAGAATTTCTGATTGACAATATATTTTATGTGTTCTTTTTCCCCCTATAGCCCCTTCTCTTGAGAAGAAAGTTAAAACATTTTTTTTTTTTTTACATAATGATTCCTTCTTTACATCTTCTCTACTGCTCCAAACTCATCCCGGCCTCAACCCAACACAGGTGTTGTCTATAAAACAGCAAGCATGGCTATCATCTGAGGCTCCTCCAAGGCTTAAAAACTCCAATTTTAATAAATATGGTTCATCCTTGCAGGACCCAGAAGTAGTAAAATCAAAGGAGCAGTAATGTGTTTACCACTAACTTTGAATGTGTAGGGTAGAAAGTACTCTTTACTATTCTACCTTCATATTACCTCCTCCTTCCCCACCTGTTCTGTCTGCCCCAGGCTGGGTCTTCAGGATGGCTGAAAGGACTATTATTGTGGTGGCCAGCAAGAAGATTGCCAGACAAGGATATGGCGTTTGATGAGCTACTTGTATTTGTTGGAGATACCCGACTATTAATACGGCAGTGCAATAGAGTTGGCCATTCTTTGTAGACTATCAGTGCTTGTACAGGGTTCTCTTTGTAATTCCTTGTTTTCCATATTAATTTTTGGCTTTGAATGGAAAAGGTAGTCCAAAGAAAGAGGAAAGTAGATTCCAACTGACTTTGATATTAATTTCTGGGTAGCTATGGTAAGTCACTAAGTTGTAGTAAACAATTATAATAATCCATAAACTTAATAAACATGCTGGTTAATGGTCAATCAAAACCTCACAGAATATTCTCTACCCTCCTCACTCTAATTTTAGAGTGCAAATATCACAAACAAAAGGAGAGGAGAGAGAAATTACATCTGAAGGAAGAGTAGTCTTCATTTCTGGGGTGCAAAAAAGACCCAGACCTAGTTAACAGAATTGGAGATTAAGAGCTACCTTTAGTTTAATAAACTGATAACAATCTTACTTTGGATGGTTCAAGAGCCATATAACAATATGATCTTACATATAGAGTATTTTTGCTTCATATTAATCATTGTGATAAGTAGACTCATTTTGCAAGACAGAAGCCAAATGAATGTGCTTGATTTGCATATTCTACAACTTCCTCTTAGGTTACCTTCCTCTAGCCTTCTCCACTTGTTAGAGTAAGAAAGGATTGACCATATGGACTTTAACATAAACTTTCTGAAAACAAAGCTAATAGACCCTAGGAAAGGGGCCAAGTTGCAATGGGAATGTTTTAGGCCTGTGATGAATTTATTCTCATTAAAAAAAAAAAAAATGTTTTCACTTGAAATACTAAGGCTAGCACCATGAACTGTACTACCTTATTGGATTGTCACAGATAAAGCTCTTTCAAGTAGACAGTCTCCAAAGGGTTTTTATATTTACGTGTTTGTTCTTCAGAAACATTTAGTGAAGCAGAAGAAAATGGACTTTATAGATTCCATTCTCTGATTAAACAGAAAGAAATCATTCAGAAATAGCTTGCTGTCTTCAATTTCTTTGGCTCCAATAACATGTAGTTGTCATGATGATTGCAGCTATTTTATTAAAAATGCTCTTAAACTGATTGAGCATCTGTCTGCTTTAGATGATTTTATTGTTTCTTTACATGGATAGACTTTCAAGCTTTCTCGGAAAGATGCATTCAGTTTTTCACTATGATTTGTTTACCCCAGTTGGATACACGATGAATGACCTGATATTTGAGTGGTTAAGTGATGGTCCAGTTCAAGTTGCTGAAGGATTGACCCTGCCTCAATTTATTTTAAAGGAAGAGAAGGAACTTGGATACTGCACAAAACACTACAATACAGGTAAGTTTTCTTTCAGCTGCTAAGTGGGTTCCATCTGCACCTTGGGTTATATATCCCATCACCTTGATTACTGCATATTTACCAAGAAAATGGAGCTACAAGGCAAGGACCTAGAATTGGCTCTAAACCCTCTCAAGACACCTATACACTCTGAAACAGGTCAGTGAGCACAACAGAGAATTTCTCCAAAACAGAGAGAGAAGTAAAGATATTTGGGAATCTTTTTGCTGTCTTCTTCCTGACCATCTGCTGTCAAATGAGTCTGAGAAAAGGTGTACCTTGTATGTGGTGCAGGAAGTGTATAAATTCTGGCCAGTTCCTGGCATCCACTTTTGACATGAGACCCTCAGGTCAATTTGCACCCTCTGTCTTAGTAGAAAAGAAGAATAACATCATAAATCATTGTAAACCCAGAAACACAGCTGCTGTGCTCTCCAGTACTGGACAATAAAAGGAGTTTGGATGAAAATCATCTGGCGGCAATTCAGCTGGCTCTAAAGACATGCATTGTCGGTAGTGCTGACAAACATGGGGGGGGGGCAGGATTTGAATCAGTAGCAACAGTGGGCATCTGTTGTTACCTGGAAGACTATGCCTGCGCAGTAAAGTTGATGGCTTTTCATATGAATATCCCAGTTTTGATACCACACAAGCTGATTGTAGACAAGGTAACTGAGACATGATGGTTTATTCAGTGACTGCTCCAGGTCCCTTGGTGAGTAGAATGGTCCATGAACACTTATTTCAGCAGTCAACAGTGCTTCCTATGAAGTATCTAAACCTGATCCCAAGGTGTTCTTCCTGACCAAAAAGAAGCCAACCCTATCTTTTATAATTTGTGGCAACTAAGACAAATTACCTTCTGGGGCTCTAACTTCAAGCAAATTAAAGAGGGGAAAGTGGCAAGGAGAAGGAACATCTATTTATTAGTAGGATGTCAAAAGTTTTAATATTTTTTATATGCACTTTTTTTTTTATAGGCAGTGTAAGACTGTAAACAGATTACAGGAATATTCTAAATATCTTCAAGCAATTACCTAAAAAGCTAGGAAATTTTGACAATGACTAGATTACATGCATGGCTGATACAAACATTTTTCTCTTGCCATTGATAACACAAAAATAATAGATAGTTGTTCAACTACTTTGGGAAGCCTATGTGAACTTTGGAGGAAATGGTTTCAAATATTACATGTTATATATTATATGCTATGTACTATATGCTATACATATTACATATATGCTATATGTTATATATTATATGGTATATATTATAAACCCACACACTATGAATATTTTATTTCCATTGGTCAGTTTATGACAGTCTTGCAAATTCTGAAGCTCTGTCTAAATAATCAAGCTGCAAAAAGCACAGATTTTGAAAATTAAATATCTCACATGGTTTTGGTCCAGTGACTCTTTAGATCACTCATTCTCACACTGTCATTACTGGTAAAGTTGGAAAAGAGTGTAATTGCTTATGAAGAGTGAGCATTTTGAAAAATCTTCCAAATCCATCTGTAATACTCTTATTTTTTTAAATAAAGTGGGAGTATGTAATAGAAAAGATAAATTCAAATTGGATTTTAAATAATCATTTCTTGCCTTCCAGGAAAATTTACTTGTATCGAGGTTAAGTTTCACCTGGAACGCCAGATGGGATATTATTTGATCCAGATGTACATCCCCAGTCTCTTGATAGTCATTCTGTCCTGGGTCTCCTTTTGGATAAACATGGATGCAGCACCTGCCAGGGTTGCACTGGGCATCACCACCGTTTTAACGATGACCACCCAGAGTTCAGGTTCCAGGGCATCTCTGCCCAAGGTAAGGAATCTCATCATTTGACAAGGGACCTGAGAAGTTTGTCAAAGATTTTATAGGCTAGAGGATTCTGGGAAGACAGAAATGTTTGCCATCCTGTGACACTGTTGGAGATGCAAATGCAATTAAGAGAATAAAGAACTGAGTCTGAGATAATTAGAGCTCCGAGGACATGGGGCAACTTCAGAGTCAGATCAATTAGGGGAAAAGAGAATCAGGGTTGAGAGAAAGGAGGAAAGAGTGGAGGCAGAAACATTGCTCAGGGATTCTGTCTAAGAATCCCTTGAGTTCTTTTCACATCATATTGTTTATGAGCCATGAAGCTTGCAGGAATTGAAGTAAGACTGATGCAACTTATGCTGTACTGACAACTACTTATTGGTGAAGTTATTATGATTCGTAGATTCAGTAATGTCACTTACAGTAATAAAAGTTTGAATTAAGCTCCCGTAAGTTTACAAAGAAAAGCCATCTCAATGAGTTTAATATGAAATGAATGTATAATATTAGAGTGCAGCAAATCAGATACATGAATCTTTGTTAGCTTGGTTTACCATAATGGGTGATATACTACTATTTTCAAGTGACACAGTTGCCTAGAGAAGGATCATTGCAGTTCTCCAAGGTGGCGGAAACTCTGGCAACTGTGGGAGGTTGACACAGAAGTGTGGGGTGGACATCAGGGAAACGAATATTTTGTGGCAAGTCAAGTAATAACCCATAATGGCTGAATACTCTATTTGAATGTAAGGCAGGCCCTCTGCATATGTAAATATTGCTTAAGCAAGTAATGATATATGCTTCACTTGTGAAATGTCCCAGCTCCCCAGAAGTGCACTTATGTGTGTTTCCCCCTTTCACAGAATACACTGAGGCATTGGCTTCAATTTGACAGGAGTGTGGGTTCAATTTAGTATTCAGTGTATACTGCCTCGTAGTGGTTGAACAGTCTCTCTAAAACCCAGTGCCAAAAACTAAATGAATGCAATCCCATATCTTTGCTGGTTTGAGCTTATGTTCAGCTGTGCTGCATTTCACATGATGAGAAATATTAGACCATGTTCCACATTATCTCCTATGTTGAAAGATACAGTGACATATGAAAGAGGGCTGTGGCAATCATGGAGATGGACTGGATACTAGGAAAATAGTTATACAAACTTTTCAATTGCCATGCCTACAAAGATAAATAATACATTGTGTATGCTAAAAGAGAAAGAAATAGATGTCACTGATGGTTTAATTTTCTAGAACAAATAGCACAAAATGCCTATGCCGTACTTCTATGAAATACAGATGTCAAAAATACTAACAGCCTTTTCTCAGCCACATAATCACAAATCAATTTTACCTAATAGAAATTCTAATCTACACTGTGCCCCCTCCCAAACAGATTCATTTGCTTATTTATCTTTAGTTAGTAGTTACTGCCATCACTGCATGCCATGCCATTAAACCTCAGGATGCACAGCCATGTATTTTACAATTTAATAGACAGCTCAAGTATTGGTGACAAATTGTAAGCAGATAATGTCAAAAATAAGACATTTAGCCTCCAACCACTTATTACTATGAAAAGAGCAGCCATTTATTTTAAAAATTGGAGCTTGAGTTTATAAATTTGTTATTCATTCTTATTAGCTATTATGATTCTACATCAATGGTCAAAACTATTGATAAATAAATGGTCACTGATCAATGATCTTTGTATGTAGAGACAATCAGGAACCAAAAGAGAGTATAATGACAAATCATTTTATACTGGGCTCTGTACTCACAGTGGTTATCTTTTTTGCCATCAGCATGTTTATCTTCCTAAGTGTATTTTTCTTAGTCTATTATTAGACATGGTTGGCTCTCAGCTGACTGTGGAGAGATGTGACTCATATGGATGACAGTGAGAAAGGAAAATGGGATCAAAAGTGAGTCATGGAAAATAATTAACTATACACTTACACACAAAAAAACATACATATATACATATGTATAGATACCTATTTTAATTTATAAATACTGCAGTCCCTGTGCAGATGCCTCACTATGCTGATTGTAAAGTTGCTCCAAGGCCTATGGCAACACCCTGTACAGAGTAGGCATGTACATTTGCACTTTAAAAGTAAGAATGTGCCCAGCCAGTGTGGCTCAGTGGTTGAGCGTCAACCCATGCACCAAGTGGTCACCAGTTCGATTGCCGGTCAGGTCACATGCCCAGGTTGTGGGCCCATCTCCAGTGGGGGGCATGCAGGAGGTGGCCAATCAATGATCTCTCTCATCGATGTTTCTCTCTCTCTCTCTCTCTCTAAAATCAATAAAGAAAAAAAACCTTTAAAGTAAGAATGCTTTGCTCTGTCTCATGAGGGTCAGTGGTTAGAATGTCTAAAGGGTTGCAGGTTCGATTCCTGGTCAAGAGCACATACCTGGATTGTAGGTTCGATCTTGGCCCTGGTCGGGGTCATTCAGGAGGCAACCAATCAATGTGTCTCTGTCACATCTGTTTCTTTCTCTCTTTCTCCCTGTCTCCCTGTCTCTCTCTCTCTCTCTCTCCCTCTCCCTCTCCCTCTCCCTCTCCCTCCCTCCCTCTCTCTCTCCCACCTCCCTCCCTTCCACTCTATCTAAAGCTCAATAGAAAAATATCCTTGGGTGAGGATTAAGAACAATAACAAAAATGATAGTAAAGACAGAAAATATTATTAATATTAACCATCCACTAAATAACTGTTGTTAAGATTTTGGCTTATTTCCTTCCAGCCTTTTTTTCCCTATTAACACTTTTAGGAAAACCTACACTGGGGCACACATAGAAAATTGAGATCAAACTTTTACACAGTTCTATATAATTTCCCATGGCATTAAAAATCTATCATGAGCCCTGGTCAGTTTGGCTCAGTGGTTAGAGCGTTGGCCTGCGGTCCGGAGAGACCCGGGTTCAGTTCCCGCTAAGGGCACGTACTTCGGTTGCAGTTTGTCCCTGGCCCTGGTTGGTCGTGCGGGTGGCAGCCACTCGATGTGTCCCTTTCACGTCGATGTTTCTCTCTCTCTCTTCCTCTCTCTCCCTCCCACTCTATCTGTACCAAAAAAAAAAAAAAAAAAAAAAAAAGGAAAAATGTCCTCGGGTGAGGATAAGTAAAAAAAAAAAAAAAAAAAAAAAAAAAAATCTATCATGAACATAATTTGTGATGAATTAATGGTCTATCTAATATATTAACCATCTTGGATATTTAGGATTTTCTTTTTTTGTTTTTGTAAGTATGATCATCATAACATATTGGTATACAAGTGTTTGTATCTTGCTGTGTTCCAGAAAACACATGTATATATTTTTTAAATCTTATTTTGCATTTTGAAAAAGAAGGAACGGCAGATGATTGGCGTGACTAAGGGATGATCTGTGGTAAGGTGTCCAATGAGATGTATGTTCCATTCAGACAGAAACTTTATTTTATTATCATCATGTTATCATCAAGTTATCATCATGTTAACTTCGGTACTTAAAACAGTGTGTGACTTAGACTAGCTGGTGAATGCATCCTCATTGAATGAATAAATAAATCAATTAATGAATAGCCATAATCTCCCTTGTGAGACCATATAGAAGACAGAATAGTCTTGAAGCAGAATCTACGGGTAAAGGTTTTACAGAAAAATATTAGCATTTCAATATATGGGAGAATATCATAATAATATAACATATGCTATAGAGAAATAGAATTTCTCTAAAGAAGTATATCTCTCCAGAAGATCTTAAGTTGACTTTGGGAAGTTAAGAATATAGCCACAAAGATGTATCCTGAAACACAGTCAGGCCTGTATCTAAAACTTAGAATCTTCATTTCACTCATCTTCTCTAAACCTATTTACTAAAATGAGAACAATATTATCTACCCCTTTCAAAAATTAAATGAGGATGAGATGAGGCATTACCAATATAAAGTGTTTAGCCCACTCAATTCATTCTGGTTATTTTTGTTGTTATTGTTCCCTGTCCATAATGTAATAGAAAAGACTCATAAAGAGTTCTATGAATAGAACACATCATGTTCTTTGGGTGGCCCATTATTTGGTTATAGTCATCCTGTCAATGAGAAGAACAAAAGTTTATCATATGTGTCTGTATATGTATGTGAATGTTTTTCATAGGTAGGTATTTCATTGACTGAGGTAAGCTCCAGAGGGTCTGAATAAGCAATGGTGTTTTTTGTTTTTGTTTTTGTTTTTTTTCTAGTCACTATCATTAAACATCCTCAGTTCCTTCTGTTTTCCTTGCCCCTGGAGAACACGTCAGGAAGATTCTATAGATTCTCAGTTACTACATGGATGGCCATTAGACCCAGAATGAACAACTGTGTATTTTACAGTTTAATAGACAGCTAAAGTATTGGTGATACTTTAGGACAGTCCATATCAGAGTTTTAAAAATCATCTATTCTGAAACAAAACTTCCGACTCACACCCAGTTCAATGGCTTTTCCCTCCCGTGCCCCCAGCTCAGGCCTCACCTTTGGTTTGAAAATGTTCAGGGAGGTGCGCATATTGTCTGTTTTCTTCACAGTTCCTCTCCTTGCTTTTCTAAATGTCTTCCCAATCCTATTCCTGATTTTACTGCTGTCGAGTGCTGAGGGTAAAAGGGTAGATGTTACTGACACTGTTGTATTTTAAATATTGCTTTCTCTAATAGCAACTGTCCAAATCCCAAACTTTTTGTGTGTTGAACTTGTATTCTTTAAAGATTCCTGGTGGTCCCATATACCATACCATTCCTAGATGAATAATGCACTCATCTAAGCAATTGCCTCCTAGCATCATATCCCATGCAACTTCTTAGTCCTGGGGTCTCCTTACCCAAGTAGACAGCCTTTCTGGTTGATATGTTTTCAACATGATTGACATCTGTCTATCTTCCACACAATTTATTTTTCCACCAAGAACATGCATTCTTGCCTTAATGAAATACTTCTCAGCTAGAAGAAGAAGAAGAAGAAGAAGAAGAAGAAGAAGAAGAAGAAGACAACAGAGATGAAGAAGAAGACGATGACGATGACGATGACAATGGAGACGAAAAAGAAGGAGAAGAGGGAGGAGGAGGAGGAGGTGGAGGAGGAGGAGGAGGAGGAGGAGGAGGAGAAAATCTTACTGTTTGCAACAGCATGGATGGACCTGGAGAGCATTATGCTAAGTGAAATAAGCCAGTCAGAGAAAGACCAGTACCATATGATTTCACTCATATGTGGAATCTAATGAACAAAATAAACTAATAAACAAAATAGAAACAGACTCATAGAGAACAGAGTTACAGCTGTCAGAGGGGAAGAGGGTTGTGAGGCTAGGTTAAACAGGTGAAAGTATTAAGGAAAAAAACCTCATAGATACAGATAATAGTATGTTGATTACCACAGGGAAAGGGGGTGGGGGCAGGTAGAAGAGGGTAAAGGGAGGATAAATGGTGATGGAAGGAGACTTGACTTGGGGTGGTGAACACACAAAATAATATACAGATGATGTATACAGAATTGTATACCTGAAACCTATGTAATTTTATTAATATAACCCCAATAACTTCAATAAAAAATAAAAGAGATAGTGGAAATAGAAATTAAATAACTGTTAACCCTTTGACCTTCACCTCACCATCTTGGATCTTCCAGCTAGCCTACTTCTTTCAGAATTTATGCAGGTGAAAAACAAGTGTTGGTGTTCATGTTTTCATACAAAACCCAAACTACTGAGGACACATGATACGTTGTCCTAAGAATGCTTCTACTCCCTGATCCAGAGTAACTTGTTGGAATTTCAGCAGCTAAGCAGATATATGACATGTGGAAGAAATGCCAATTTTTTCTCTTACAGGGGTTTGGGGTAAATAAATCACCTTCTCCCCATCTTTAGGAAAGTAGGTAAAATGCCACAACACTGTCAACATCCACAAATTCCATGACCTCAATTAATTCCTTTCAAATGTCTAGTCTTCTGTAATAATACAGGGGTTTTGGGTACAATGGTATCTAAATAGCATTTTCTTTCTTCTAGAAAGTCCTGCATCCTGCATGCAAATGTGTAGCCTCTCCCTTAAGAGTGAGGCTTTAGTCAAAATTGTGAGACAATATGAATATCCTATCCCCATACTGTTAAATTCATAAACAAACATGCTTAATTTTTAGTTTTATCCCTATGATGGCAAGTTTTGTCCATGTTTACATACCCACCACTAGCAGAACACCTGGCTCACAGTAGGTGCTCAGTAAAGAGTTGATTAGTGAATGAATAAACAATGTTTAATGGACTTGTAGTCAAGTGGTATTTTTATATGTCAGTTAACTTTCAATTAACTCATCCATCCATTTATTCAACTAACATTTATTAAATGTCTTCTCTGTGCCACACATTGTGCTAGGGACTGGTGAAAGCAACTATAAATAAAACACAATCCTTGCCCTCAGGGGATTGTAATCTTGAATGCCAGAGACAAATACTTGAAATGGTGATTATTAAATAATGTGGAATTCAGTCATGCACTACATAACAATAGTTCACTCAATGAAGGACTGCATATATGATGGTAGTCTCATAAGATTATAAGAGAACTGAATTTTCTGTAAAAAAAAAAAAAAAAAAAAAAAAAAAGAGAGAGAAGGATATGTGGTTCAGGAGAAACTTTTCTTTTTCTAATGGGAGTAATACCTGTGGGGCTTGGCAATGTATTCTTACAGTGGCTTTCAATCAGTAAGCCACTGACCTGTTTCAGCACATAGGGACTTGTCCAATAAATGGTACATATTCAGAGGGTGCTATGGCCTCCCAGGTCTAGCTCGATGGTATTCAGAGTACATGGCTGTAAATTCTTTGTTGAGGAACTAAGATCCTATAGAAGGATACAGGTCTATAGGAGCTACCTTAACAAGTATTAAGTGCCACTGCCACTTTAGTAGAAGCTTTCTGTGGTTACATGGAATCTGCCTGTACCTGTACTTGGGAAATATTTTCAGGTTGTAATGATGTAATGCATAGATACATTTTATTTCTTCCATCAATTCAATGCCAGAAAGAGAGGCCTTTGTGCCAGATAGGGTCAATGGAACCACAAATTTCCAAAGTCCAAATATTGAGTCCTTAGTTCAATTGTTTCCGTGTTAAACATCCTCTTACTTATGAATATCACAAAGTTTCTTAATCTGACCACTGCTCAAACATGCAATCGCCAAAACCACATGGTCATGACAGTCCTCTGTGTTCCTTCATCTCTCCATCTTGATTTTCTTATTCCTACTTATCCTTAGGTCACCTTTGATTTCCTCCTGACAGTCACCATTATGGTGATCTATCCCATATTGATAACTGAAGATATGCCGATGACACCATTTTACTGGCAGAAAGTAGCAATGATTTGAAAAGACTGTGATCAACATGAAAGAAGAAAGTGTCAAAGCAGGACAACATTTGAATAGCAAGAAAACATACATCATGCCTACAAAAAAAAAATACAAAACTTTAGCATAGACAATGAAGACCTCTAAGTTGTTCATTTTGTTTACCTTGGTTCAGTTGTCAATTCACATCGAGACTGCAGCCAAGAAATCAGGAGAAGGCTGAGACTTGGAGGGGCAGAATTTGGAATGATCACCAAGAGTACAGATGTGTCATTAGAGACCAAGACTGAGATCCTCCACACCCTCATGTTCCCAATTACTATGTACAGATGCAAAAGCTGGACAGGGAAGAGGCTGATAGGAAAAACCTTGATTCATTTGTTGGAGGAGAGCTCTACAGACACCCTGGGCTGCCAGGAAGATGAAAAAGTGGGTCCTGGCTCACATTAAACCTGAAACATCCCTGGAGGCAAAAATGACAAACCTGAAGCTTTCCTACTTTGGACACATTATGAGAAGGCAGGGTTCTTTGGAAAAGATAATAATGCTGGGAAAATAGAAGGCAGTAGGAAAAGAGGAAGACCAAAGATGAGATGGATTGACTCCATAAAAGAAGCCATAGGTATAAGTCTCCAGGAGCTCAGCAGGGATGTTGAGGACAGGACACTGTGGACATCATTCATTCATAGTCACCAGGAGTTAGAACCAAACTCAATGGCACATAAGAGCAATATGCCGTACCCAGCCAGTTTCCCCTAGATATTTTTAATCAGTCCAGCGCATGTCTCTGTTCATGAAGTAGCTTTGACAGCTTCATTGTTCTATTTCTGACCCTACTGAAAGGAAGCAGCTGGAGAGATTGTGGGACAGTGTTTATAAAGTCTTCAGTACTCTACAGTAATGTCCTAGGCCTTCATATCCATTCACCACTCACTCACTGACTCACCCAGTGCAACCTGCAGTCCGACAAGCTCTATTCATGTAAGTGTCCTCTACAGGCATACCATTTTTTTTCTCTTATGCCATATTTTTACTGTACTTTTTCTATGTTTAGATACACAAATACTTACCATTGTGTTACAATTGCCTACAGCATTCAGTATACTAACATTTGTAGCCTAGAAGCAATAGGATATGCCATGTAGCCTAGGTATGTAGTAGGCTGCATTGTCTAGGTTTGTGTAAATACACTTTGTGATGTTCACACAATGATGAAATAGCCTAATGATACATATATCAGAATATATCCCCATCATTAAGCACACATGACTGTATAAGTGCATCAAGAAAGATGCCTAACCTTTTAAATAGTGTGGGGGAACTGGAGAGGGAGGAAGGAAAGAGGAAGAGAATAAGAGAGGGAGGGAGAGAAGGAGTAGTTTAGGAAAAAGACCTGAAGGAGGGAGCCTGAAGCTATAAAGCAGATTAAATATGTGAAGTAAGAGAAGGTAAAGGTCATTCCATGCAATGAGGACTTCCTAGTCATATTTGGGCTGCACTTACAAAATAAGCTTTTCTAGAAGACAATCTAGGCAAGTTTCTAACACACTTCACAAAATTTAAACACATTTCAAGTAAGAAACTTGTGTTTATTCATTCCAAGTTAATATCCTGCCTTCCTGCCAACCAAAGGTTTTGTGGTTTTTCGCTTTGTTTGGTCTGGTTTTGTTTGGTTTGGTTTTCAGAAGTTCAATCTCTTCCTTAAATAAAAGAAAATGAAATACCAACATAATATCTGTTCCATAGATACCATCCTATTTGAAGCTGTAAAACTAGTTTTTAATATACACATCTCTGCCACTCTGGCTGCTGTGGTTTCAGTTGGTTGGGCATTGTCCCGTGCACCAAATTTTGCCAGTTTGATTCTGGTCAGGGCACACGCCCAGGTTCTGGGCTCGATCCTCAGTAGGGGGCATGCAAGAGGCGGCCAATCAATATTTTTCTCTCACATAACTTTCTCTCCTTCTCTCTCTCCCTTCCTCCCTCTCTAAAAATCAATAAAAATATTCTTAAATATATTTATATATTTATGCATCTCTGCCAACCCCCAAGAAATTGTTCAGCTGATAATGTTCTAACCATCTGGAGCATAAAACCCCTAGTGGCAGACTAAAGGCTGGGAGTATAGTTGTCTTTCCAACATGCAGGAAAATACCAGGATGAATTGAACAGAAGGCTGTGAGATACTAGGCATGCATTGAATGTGGCAAAACAAGGTTAAACAATTATTTTCCTTTACTCTGTGTTTGTTATTAGAGCTGAGCCCTATATCTTAAGCCCTCATTTGTGGCTACAGACCAGACACTGTAGAGGTGAGAGTGAGCATTGGTAAGAGACAGTTGGGATGACACAAGTGCACAGGTAATTCTGACAGGTCCATAACCATCTCTTTGGAGCAAGGATTCAGAGGTATCTTTTATCATTTTTTATTTATTTATTTGTTTAATCCTCACCCGAGGACATTTTTTCATATTTTGTTCAGATAGAGTGGGAGGGAAAGAGAGAGGGAGAGAGAAACATCAACGTGAAAGGGACACATCGAGTGGTTGCCACCCGCATGACTCAACCAGGGCCGGGGACAAACCACAACCAAGGTACGCACCCTTAGTGGGAACCGAACGCGGGTCTCTCTGGACCACAGGCTGATGCTCTCATGCTGAGCCAAACCGGCCAGGGCTCTTTCATCATTATTAACTGAAATACCCTATTTCTTATAGAAGGAAATGTTGCCTTACTTTTCAGCCATCTGGTCAACTACGACCAGCTGTACCACTTCAAGCAGCTACCAAACTAAGCACAGCTTGGAATTTGAAGCAAGAGGCTACAATTCTGTCACATTCAGTCTTGCTTTATTCCCTATGAGAATGTTTCTATCTAGAGACTGCAATAAGAGAAACTATAAAAGCAGTAAGACTGATACCTATAGAAGTTCTCAAATAAGGATTTGGATGTCTGTTTTATCTCTAAAAAAATAATTGCTTCTTGAATCAGTTACAACCCCAGCTAATTGGAATGAATTTCCTAGGTCATATTGGTATTTCGAAAACAGGCTGGAACTTTTTTATTTTGTAAAGTCAGTGTGCCACTTAGTTCTTGGATAAAAGATTAAAAAGTCAAAAAGTCCAAGCTTTGGTAAATTGATCTGCAGGCCAGCTTGCTTTGTAGCCACATGTGGGAGACTTCACAATTTTTTCTCTGACATTTCCCAAGCCACAGTAAATTGAAGAGTCATTGATGTAGTGAATTTGTGATAAAAACATGCAAAGAGATGACGTGGGTGAATTCTCTCAGGACAGAGCTGGAGCACCACTGGTACTTTAGTCCAAGAATGTTGGCAGTCTTTACAGAGAAGCTGACAGTCAGAGAAGCTACCCAGGCTATACTTCTGCTTAAGTCCTGGTGATACTCATAAATTTGGGGGAAATAGCATTTTGAAGTTCAGGATAACTTTGAACTCTCTTCCATTTCATTAAAATGAATAATCCTGTCTGGGTCATACAGCTTTAATGTCTTCAGTTCTTATAACTGCCACATGGTAAGGGAAAAAATGAGCTATTATACAGTATGTATTACATAGTCAAGATATAGACTTGAAGAAACAAAGCTTTTGTCCTTAAGAAGGCTGATATACATAAAATAGATCTTTTGTTTTGTTTTGTTTTGTTTTTTGTTGTTGTTGTTCAGATAGAGTGGGAGGGAGAGAAAGGAAGAGAGAGAAAAACAGACATTAAAGGGACACATCGAGTGGCTGCCACCCACACAACCCAACCAGGGCCGGGGACAAACTGCAACCGAGGTACATGCCCTTAGCGGGAACCGAACCCAGTTCTCTCCGGACTGCGGGCCAACGCTCTAACCTCTGAGCCAAACCGGCCAGGGCAAAATAGAAGAGTTTAATTCAGTAAACTAAGGGCAATGCAGTAGTTGTTTGTTTGTTTGTTTTGTTATTGAAATACTGTAATAACTCTCCTCTCGGTATCCATACCCTTTGGGTAATAGCCCCCTCCCACACGGACTGTCAACTTGACCATATGACTTGCCTTGGCCAATGGAACAATGCCAAACATGACATAAAAAAGAGACTTGAAAAATGCTTGTATATTGTAGTTAGCTTTCTCTTGCTGCTCTTAGGGCTCCTATGAACACCACCAAGTGAATAAGGCCAGGCTAGCCTGTTAAATGATGAGAGACACATAGCCCAGCTATTTATATTACCAAGATGACAGCCAGTTAACCACCACTTCCTTGCTCACTGCCCCAGGCTCACTGGTCTTCTTGCTGTTTCCCAAAAATGCAAGGCACATGCTGTCATTCCTGGGATTTTGCAATGACTGCTCTCTATATCTGGAAAGTTCTGCCCCCAGATATTCACATGAATAACTTATCCACCTTTTCCAAGTCTCTATTCAAATTTTACCTTCTCAATAAAGCCTGCTCTGGTCATTATCACCTCACCATGCCTCATCAACACCTTGACCCAACTCAATGTTTCAATTTTTTTTGTTTCCCTACCACACTTTATCCCCTTATAGATAAGTTTGATTCATATCAAACTCTACTATGGGTTATGTTTATTGTACATTGTCTATTTTCCTTAGCTTGACTATGAGCTCCACAAAGGCAAACACTTTTACCTGGCTTGCTCCCTATAACAGCACCTAGCCTATAGTATATGCTCAATAAATATTTGTTCAATGAATGAATGAATATATACAACTCTAAAGTCTAGACACTGAGAAAAATTTATCTAAGCCTTCTCTAGGATACTTTAATTGGTTCTTCTTCTTCTTCTTCATATTATTATTATTATTATTATTATTATTATTTAATCCTCATCTGAGAATATTTTTCCATTGATATTTAGATAGAGTGGGAGGGAGGAGAGAAAGAGAGGGAGAAGGAGAGAGAGAAAGAAAGATCGATGTGAGAGAGACACGTAAACTGGTTGCCTCCCTCACAAACCCGACCAAGGCTGGAGATTGAACCTCAACCGAGATACATGCCCTTTACCGGGAATTGAACCCATGACTCTTTGGTTGGCAGGCCAATGCTCTAACCACAGAGCCAAACTGACCAGGGTTTAACTGGCTATTCTTTACCACAGAGAATTCTGGCTGCCTACATTTTGTTACTCTTAACATAATAAAACTTATAAAAGTTTCACTTCTCTGACTAATTGTATCAAGTAGTATATTCATTTACCTTTGATAGACCCTTCTTATAGTCAATCTAACCAAAGCAATATTCATAATAAAAGAGCAATGATTTGGATGAGAGGGCATCTAGACAGGCTATTTTTATCTCCATTTTGCTTCCTCAGCACTGTCACAACTAATTTGGAGGTTTCTCAGTATGCCGATGCAAGTGTCCATTTCCCCTCTTGCTTCTCCAGTTTGTTATGAAGCAAGCATATTTTTAATTGTGATAAAGGCATTGAGGGCTCTCCTCTGAGCTCTCTAGAGCTACTGCAGGCCAGAGGTATAGCCCCATGCTCTTCCTTGTGGGCCCAAATATCAAAAATTCCCCCTTTCTTTACCTAACAAAAAATGAGTGTTGTTGTTGTTTTTTTCCTCTGATTTTAATGTGTCATCAAAGACTATCTGTGTATTTGAACTTTAGAATGTCTTTGGACTTGAGAAGCCACAAGCTCTAGTCTGAAGCAGACTGCATGATATGCCTAAAGCAAAGCATTTTCTACCCCTCACCAAAAAGGGGGGCAACCGCAGTTTGCTTTCAAAATTAACTACATCTTAAAAAACTGAATGTCAAAATATTTTCCAAAGTAAACATAAACTTACCTTCAAAAGCTTAAACTTTTGTATTGTCAGCAGAAGAAGG